CCTTGCTTCTCTGAGCCCGACGTGGGCCATCTCCCAACTCCTTTGAACTCCGGTGCTAGGGATGGAGCTCGGGTGACGCCCTGGCACAGCTGTCGGCTGTCCTGGGAAAGGTGTGCAGGGGGGCACAGGGCCACCTCAGGCTGAGTCCCGCGGGTACCAGCCTCGCGTCACCGCGACCTTTTCACCGAGGGTGTTGCTGCTGCTTGGACTGGGTTATCCCGGAGGGCTTTACGGTTTTCATTGCCAGCCCCACGCCCTGATGTCACGGGGGCTCGTCCGTGTGGCCGCCCTGGCTTGCTCCCCCGGGCGAGCTGTAACCTCAGGCAGGCTACCACATTCGCTCAGTACTCAGCAGAGGCCAGCTCGGTCTCGCGATGAAAATGAAACAGCAGCTCCCAGTTAGAGTTTGAACCCCTGAGACCACTGCTCTGTATTTCAGAAACGGTTGAATGCTGGAGGTTTCCGATGGTTCGCCCCATTGGTACCCCACTAGTAAGGACTGGGATGAGTGCTTTCTCCGGGTTGTCTCAGGTGACCCCCCAGCAGCTCTGAGAAGGGGTCTTAGAGATCCAACAGGCCCCCCTTGAACTGGCAGCTCTGTGACCCTGCCTGTCCTAGGAACGGCCCCCCTCAGGGGCACTCAGGGCTCAGGGCCTGCTCAGTTCTTAGCCTGTTTCCAGCTCCTTCATTCTCTAGGGAGGAGTTGGAGCAGCTCTTTTTCCCTTTATAAGAGAGAAGGGGTGGGGGGGGGTGAGGGAGACACAGAGAGGCATTGTGTGCATGTGTTTTTATAGTTTGTTTTGTTTTTAAGTTTTGCTGTAGGGTGCGTGCATTTGCTGGGGCCAGAGATGGGGGAGAGGGATGAGAAATCATCCCCTCCAAGGACAGATGGCCACACTGCAGTCCTTCTGTAGTCTCCTCGCGGGGTTTTAGGCACACATGCATAGGTGTCCCGTGTTTTTCAAGACACCAGGTCCAGTCTTGAGCTGTGTAGTTGGCCGTGTGGATCCATCTACCTAACCTCCACACCACCTGCTGACACAGGAGAGGCATTTATTTATTTATTTATTTATTTATTTATTTATTTATTTATTTATTTATTTATTTATGAGAGGTTTTCACTATAAGGCACGTGCGCTCACCAGGCAGACAGAGACATAGAGACAGGAAGCGAGAAATCACCCCCCGGAGGGGGATGGTCACACTGCAATCCCTTCTCCATTCTCCTCTTGGGATCTTGGGCACGCACGCACACGCGCCTGGCGTGAGTTCTAAGCCACCAGGTCCAGGACGCGAACCGCGGTCGACTACGTGGGAGTCCAGCGACATAGCCTGTACGCTAACTACTGGTTCCCAGGAGAGGCATTTCTGACAGGCTTTCACCACATCAGGATCCTCGTGCCCCAGCCTCCCGGTTAGCTAGGACACGGGGTGCACAGCAGTGTCGGTGTGTTCCGGTGGCCCAGGATCCGAACCTGGACCTCCCACACAGCTTCCAGCCTCCCCAGCAGTGATGCTGTCTGTGTGCCACCTCGGCAGGGTCTGGGCAGCTTTCCCGTGCCCCGAAACCTGCACAGCGTCATTCTGCCTCCAGCCTGCAGAGTCCTTCCTGCCCCCAGCCTGCAGAGTGGCTGCCAGTGCTCGCTCCCCACCAGTCGCTCCTCCAAGTCGCACAGGCGAGCTGAGTTGCGAGCTCAAGCTCCGACTGGCCGCCCTGGTCTTTCGCTCCCATCAGAGTCGAAGCCCTTGCTTTTACCCTTCAGGGCCACGCCTAATCAAGGACTTTCTCCAACCTTCTCAGACACTCCCAAGAAAATCGTGTCGTTTCCTCACAAACTTTTTTTAACATTTATTTATTTATCTATTTTCTTGGTAGGATTTTATTTTTCTTTCTTTTTTTTTAAGAGGGATTTTTTTCTATAGGGCGCATGCACTTGCTGGAGCAACAGAGAGACAGAAAGTGAGAAATCACCCCCCAGTGCAGAAGATCGTGCTGCAATCCCTACTCCTCTGTCTCCTCTTGGGATCTTAGACATGCATGCACAAGTGCCCAGTGTGAGTTTTAAGTCACCGGGCCCAGGACTCGAACTGCGGTTGACTATGTGGAAGTCCAGCAAAGTAACCATTATGCCATCTGTCGGTCCCGTATTTATTGTGATTTTCAAGCTGCTGAGTCCAGGACTTGAACTGCGTTCAGCCATGTACCCCATAGTAAAGCTAAAAGAAAAAAAGTTACAGTGGTTTCCAGAATGGCTATGCCATTTAAAAAAGAAAGAAAAAGAAATAGATTTACTTAATTTCATAGTGAGGTTTTGCTTCAAGATACTAAATTTATGAATGTTACTTTTTATTTTTTAATTACAGAGGTTTTTGCCTTAGGGTGCATGCACCGACCAGAGAGAGACAGACAGAAACACTGAGAGGGAAAGTGAGAAATCACCCCCCAGGTGGCATGGCCACACTGCAGTCCCTTCTCCTCCTCTGTCTTCCTAGGATCTTGGGCATGCACACACATGTTCCTGGTGTAATTTTCAAGCCACCAGGTCTGGGACTTGAACTGCAGTTGGCCATGTGGGAGTCTAGCGACGAAACTGCTGTGCCATCTGCTGGCCCCGTGAATTTGTTACTTTAATAACAAATACAATTAAAAAAAAAATAAAAGTAAGAGCAGATAGTCCACCAAACCTGCACCACTGAGAAAGTAAACTCGTGCGTGGCGCCTGGAAGCTGGCTTAGTAATACACGTGTCCCACGCTATGTTCCATGAAGTACTGATTTTGTTAGACTCTGATCGCAAATAACAGAAACCAGCTTTTCGGCATAAAAGACTCTGGGGCCACCCCAGAATGAATACGAGCTTAAGAAAGGACAGAAACCGAGGTGGCTCGAGGGTTTCTCAGCTGAGACTTGATCCCAAAGAGAGAGTTTCTGATCTTCCTGGCTCAGCCCAAGCTTGAGCTTGTCCTGGGAGAAGCGAGTTGAATGACAGTTCCAACAAGACCGTCTGTGTGCACGGGGGTCCTCCGTGGCAAAACCAGGGAGCTAGGAGGAGGGGAGTGAGTGGCAGAAGCCCAGCTGTCTACTACAGATGCTGGTGGCCGGGTTCTAGAGCCACGTCCATTGGGAAACGCGTTAGCGACTTCTGAGAGTCTCCACACGTGTCGTCCGTGGGCCCCCAGTGTGGGGAGGAGGTGCAGAGTTTCCCAGGCTTCTTTAATGACGTTGGGACCCCATTAACACCTTAACACTGCGGGAGCCCATCAGGGCAACCCTGGCCTGGTTGGTCTCCAGTGACCTAGGTCTGAGATCTGCGAGCTTGCAGGGAGGACGTGGTCTCAGCCCGCAGCAGCCGGACTCTCCCGACCCTGGGCATGAGGGCAGCTAGTCTGTCCTGGGCCGGCCAGGGCACTCGCTTGGCTTCTCTTGGCAGCCTGGCCTGGCTCAGGGCTGAGGAGCTCCGAGGGGTGTCCACACGGCACACAGCTGAGCGGGGAGAGGGCTTGTCTGAGGTTCGGTGCAGGGGGACTAGAACCCGGTGTCCTGGCTCCCACCTCAGCCCCTTTCCCTGTGCTGCAGCCCCCTGCCCTGGCAGGGGAGAAGCAAGGGCAGCCACCATGAAGCTTCAGTCAGTGGACTGCCGTCCCCTCCTCCTGCCTCGTCCACGCCAGCCACGGCGTCTCGGGGACTTCCTCTCCGCACTTGGTTTCCCTGCTCTTCCTCCCTCCTCTCCCTCTCATCTTTCAGTTGCCAAATGTCACCTGTGCTCACCAGCGAGCGAAGGAGAGAGCACCCCGCAACGGAGCATAGTCACACACCCTTCCCTTCCCTTCTCCATCCCATCGGGATTTAGGGCACACATGTATATTATATGTTCTTGGTGTGGCTTTTGTTGTTCCTCTAAAACATCCCATGGACTGACCCTATAGCCGAGTGGTTGAGGGAGCTGGATCTCACACGACTTACTGTAGTTCTCATCCTGGCCCTGGTTTGAAATACACTCCAGGCACGAGTGCGTGTGGGCCCCAGATCCCGGCAGGATGAAGAGAGGGAGGAGCAGGGCTTGTCATGTACCCGACCGTTAGGGCATGCTTCTCCTTCTCCCCCATCTCTGTTTCTAGGACTGCCTGGGGGGCATAGGTGCCCACTTTCAAATAAAAACAAACAAGAATCATGCCAAGGGATCCAAACCTTCCTTAGGAGAGGATGTAAATTAACATTTTTCTCTTTTAGTTTTTGCTATAGGATAGGCAACGCTTGCCAGAGAGATACGGAGTGAGAGAATGAGAGAGGGAAAGTGAGAGATCACCCCCGACGGGGAAGGGCCACACTGCAGTCCCCTCTGCTCCATTCCCCCAGGACTCTGGGCACAGACACACGCACACCCGGCTTGTCTTCCCAGCCTTCAGGTCTGGGACCCAAACCTCCATTCCCTTCTCGGGACTCGGCCTGCCCGCACGTACACCGGCGTATCTGCCAAGCCGCCAGGTCTTACTCCAACTGTGCACTTTAGGCATGTGGGAGCCAGCCACCCCAACCACCGTGCCACCTGGCTGGCCCTAAATTAACATTTTATAAATTAAATAACTGAAAATGCTCTAAGCAAGTTAACCGGTTAAGAGTTTCACTGAGAACCACCCCCGCCCTGGGAATGTGAAGACTCCATTATAAGTTGGTAAAGTCTCCCTGCATTCCTCATAAGTGCTGGTGTCTGAATGTTGCTTTTCTGCCGAGGCAGGGGGAAGAGCAGGTGTCGGCCCTCGGGTCAGTGTGAGTGGGCGGCCAGGCATAGTGCTTTCTAGCAGCATCCAGTCCAGGGCTGTGTTTTGTGGACCAGCAGGGCAGCCAGATCCACCCTGGGGAGTAAAATCCGAGAAGGGATTGAAGGTCTGGCTTTGTGATGGATATCATTTTCTGGGGTCGTTTTGGGCCAGCAGACCGTTGAGTAGCACAGGCTTTTGGCTGAGGCCTGATTCATGTCTGTCCCTGTGGTCTCCTTCCAGGAAAACTTGATTGGCGCCCTCCTGGCGATCTTCGGGCACCTCGTGGTCAGCATTGCCCTTAACATCCAGGTAAGCGTCACGTGCCAGCACTGTCTGGGGCAGAGCTTTACGGCGGGAAGTAGGGTGTCTGTCCAGGTCCAGCACCCCTCTCGGTGGGTGGGGCCTCGCTTACTTCATTGAAGAGCTGTCCTGTTGAGACAGGAGTCAGACCCAGTGAGTGGGTAGACAGGACAGGGACCCGGAGAGGAGAGTACTGTCCGCCATGCTGGGCGGCCATGTTCGTGATCTTAGAGGAAGCTGTTCCACTCGCCCCACCTCCCCACGCCCAGCTAGGCCATGCAGGGACCTCCGCAGGCCTCCCAGGCTCTGTCTCCACCTGTCCTGCTCGGCTTGCTCCAAGGCTGTTGCAATTCTCACATTTTTGTTTAATTCAGTTGATTCCACACTGTCCGTTGCTTGAAAGCCTGTAGGGGTGCCCCACAGCAGCCCCTGCAGCTGTCCCCAGCATCTCTCTGTTCACCTGAGTTCTCCGCAGCAAGTAGAGCGCACTCCCTGAGGACACAGCTGGTCCCTCTGCCATATGGGTGCAGCTCGGGGTGTTCCTGGAGGGAGAATGTTACGCCTTGGAAATTGCCTTCAGCCAATGGGAGTGGGAGCTGTGAATAAGTGGTCCAGGCTCCTCTCTGGTAGGGTGAGTCCTCAGAGGGTCCCAGTGGGCCTGAGCCCCAGCTGCCCACCGGACCAGGTCACTCACTGCTCACCTTTGGCCAGTTCTCTGTCCCCTGCCTCCCCACCCCACTGCCTGTGCTCCCTGGAATCATCTCCTCAGTAAACCAAGATTGGTCTCAGGGCCTCCTTCTGGGAGTCCAAACCAAGACGTGGCACCTACCCCCAGGATCGGTCCCTTAGCACACCGTGGCTTCGCTCCACAGGCGTCGCGGGGCCCCACGCTGCGGCAACCGCTGTCCCTGCTGTAAACACACAGGCCCGTGCTCATCGCCTTGTGCCTCTCAGCTCCCGCCTGTGTTTCCGGGGCCACACGGGCCGGTGCTCAGAGCTGCAGGCCGGTGGCCACCCAGCGGCTCTGTAACCTGGCTGCTCTGTGCCCCCACACTGTGCATTGCCCTCCATGCAGCATGGCCCTCTCAGCACGGCGTTCCCACCTTCCTGGCCACGCTGAACTCAGTATCCACCCCAGGGAGGGCAAGGTCCACTGAGAGCCACAGAGCTGCCCAGCAAGAACTGCTGACACTTCAGTGCAAGGAGGAAGTGTGGCCGAGTGAGCACTCCACCTCCATGAACCCCAGGACTGCAAGTTATGGGGCGAGGCCCATCCAAGGGGCAGGCCAGAGTGGGGCTCCTTCAATCACGGCTCTTACCCACAAACCACATTGCCCATGACATGTTAGAAATGCCCATCTCAGGGGCCAGCAGATGGCATAGTAGTTCATGTCACTGGAACCCCACGTGGCCGACCGCAGTTTGAGTCCTGGACTCGGAGTCTTGAAAATCTCGCCAGGTGTATCTGCATGCGTGCCCAAGATCTGGAGAGGAGAATGGAGGAGAAGGGATTGTGGGTGGTCATCCCCCCGGGGGTGATTTCTCACTTTCCCTCTCACGCTCTCCTTCCTTCTCCTCTTCCCCGACCTATGACCAAAACCTCTAAAAAAAAAAAAAAAAAGGAAAAAAGAAAAAGAAATGCCATCTCAAGCCCCCTGGCTCCCGAGGCTGGCTGAGGGTGAGGCCTGGGCGTGTGTACATTCTCTGAAAGCTTCCAGGGCCGTTAGAATGAGGACCAGGCAGTCGGGAACTGCTGTCCTAGGGTAACTTCCGGTATTTAGATGGCTGCTGCTTGAGTTTTGAGTAAAGACTCAAAAAGCTTGGATGGGCCTTCCCAATTATTTTACAAAGTGGAGGACAATTTAGGATACGTCCATGGGATGTTTCCCCAGACCTCTGGGTAAATCACATTCTTTCTCGGATTTCTAGAAGTACTGCCACATCCGTCTGGCAGGCTCCAAGGACCCCCGGGCCTATTTCAAGACCAAGACATGGTGGCTGGGCCTGTTCCTCTTGCTGCTGGGCGAGCTGGGCGTGTTCGCCTCCTACGCCTTCGCCCCCCTCTCGCTGATCGTGCCCCTGGGCGCCGTCTCTGTGATAGGTAAGACCAGCACAGCCCTCCCTGCCCTGGCGTCCGGCCTGTGAGGCCAGCTGGCCAGCCATCACCTCCAGGGTTAGAGGCCCTCACCCAACAAGGCAGCTTTCGCTTTGCTTATGTAGCTAGTTCTTGTCATAGGCACTGGACCCCGTTCTAAATGCTTCACAGGGGACCAGCGGTTGGCGTAATGGCTATGTCGCTGGACTCCCATGTAGTCGACCACGATTCGGGTCCCAGACCCGGTGGCTTAAACTCACACCGGGTGCGTGTGCGTGTGTGCCCAAGATCCCGAGAAGAGAAAGGAGGAGAAGGGATTGCGGCGTGGCCATCCCCCCTGGGGGCTGATTTCTCGCTTTCTGTCTCTGTCTCTCTCTGTCTTTCTGGTGAGTGCACGCGCCCTATAGCAAAAACCTCTCCAAAAAAGAAAAATGAAAAAAAGCTTCACAGACCTTAATCCTTCTAATCCTCCCAATCACCTTCTTTTTAAGGATTATTTATTTAGTTTTACTTATTTTTTATTATATTATTATTATTTTAATTTGCTTTAGGACACGTGCGGTCACCAGAGAGAGAGAAAATGAGAAAGCAAGCTGCCAGGTCCAGGATTTGAACCACAGTCAGCCATGTGGGAGCCCAGCACCGTAACCACCACACCACCTGCTGGTCCCCCCAATAAGCTTTCGAAGGAGGTTCTGTTAGTATTCCCATTTTACATATGAAGAAACTGAGGTACAAAGCAACAAAGGCACTTCTCCCAAATCACACAGCTAGCAGCCGACCAGGTGGGAACCAGCCTGTCTGTCTCCAGAATCTGATTGTTGAAGTTTCTCAGAATTGCCCTTTACTTTTGCCAGAGAAGGAAGAGAAACCTTAACACAGACGTCTTTATAGTGGCAAGATAAACTACACCGTTTGGGCTTCAGATACTTTGTGCTTGTAAGAATGCACAGGGGCCAGCAGGGGGGTAGTAGTTACGGCTCTGGACTCCCACATGGCCAACCATGGTTCAAGTCCTGGACCCAGTGACTTGAAACTCACATTGGGCGTGTGTGTGTGCCCAAAATCCCGAGAGAATGGAGGAGAAGGGATTGCAGTGTGGCCATCCCCGTGGGGAGTGATTTCTCACTTTTTCACCCTCTGTCTCCCTCTGTGTCTCTGGCAAGCACACATACCCTACAGCAAAAATCTCTCCAAAAAAAAAAAAAAAATGGGAAATGCACATTCCGGGGCCAGCAGGGGCATGGTGGTTAAGGCTCTGGATCCCACATGACCAACTCCACAGTTTGAGTCCCAGACCCGGCGGCTTGAAATTCACACCAGGCGCATGTGTAAGTGTGCCCCAAATCCCAGGAGGAGAATGAAAGAGAAGGGATTGCTACACGGCCACCCCTCTAGGGTGATTTCTCACTTCCCCTTTCCTACTCTCCCTTTCTGGTGCCCTATGGCAAAAAACTAAAAAAAAAAAAAGGGAAATAAATGCATATTCTCTTTTTTAAAAAAGAAATTATTTTATCTGTATGTATTTTATTTTAATTTGGCAAGAGAGAGAAAGAAAGCAAACCACCAGGTCTGGGACTCGAACCATGGTTGGCCATGTGGGAGTCCAGCACCCTGCACCACCACGCCACCTGCCAGCCCCAGAAATGCATATTCTCTGATGTGATACCATTTTGAGAACATCATTACCTTTCTTATCTGCTCTTTTTCTATTTCTGTAATCACTTGGACCAACTAAGAAACAAAGAGCTCTATGTCCATGAAAATAAAGTAGAATTAGTAAAATAAATAAACTGGTAAAAAAAAAAAGTTCTTTTCTTCTGAAAGGAAAGCTGTTAGACTAGCTGACAATAGCCTTTTGTATTTAGGAACTGGGACATGACCATGCTCTGATGTGTTTTCTTCCATTTCCCCGGCAGGTTCTACTGTGCCTGGGAGTTCTTCCCCACTCTTAAAGGAGAAAGTCATGTTTTGGGTCTTGTACCTCCTTGAGTTAGAAGGCCTGTCCTACACCAAGGGCAGAAAATGCCTGGCCTTTGCACGGTTACCATACCCTGTGCTGTGCCTAAGGCAGACATAGTTAATCGATCACAGCGCTCCTTCCTAGTGTGCCCAAATGGGGCCTCCAAATTCTCAGAGCTTCAGCTAGTCATCGCCAATCACCAGGAGTTGGCAAAGAAGCAGAAATCTGTTTGCTTTCCTTGATCTTATTATAAGACTCTTCCTTGAATGAGGTCCTCAGGCATGGTGTGTTTTTTTCCCACTTGATATTAACAACAACAACAAAAAAAAAAACAAGAAGGATGACCACACCACAATCCCTTCTCCTCCATTCTCCTCCTGGAACCCTGAGCACACACACACACATGCCCGGCATGAGTTTCATGCTGCAGGGTCTGAGACTTGAACAGCACAGCTGGCTATGTGGATTCAGCATCGTAACTTCCATGTTGCCAGCCAGCCCCAGTAATCAAATTATTATTGGTTTTTTTTGGGGAGAGGTCTTTGCTCTAGGGCATATTCGCTTGCCAGAGGGACAGACAGAAAGCGAGAAATCACCCCCCAGGGGGAATGGCCACGCCACAATCCCTTCTCCATTCTCCTCTCAGGATCTTGGGCACACACGCACATGCGCCTGGCATGAGTTTAAGCCACCAGGTCCAGGACTCGAACCACGGTCAACTATATGAGAGTCCAGCGACATAGCCCTTACACCAATTGCTGGTCCCATTAAGCTGAATTATAATGATGAGACTTCAGGTATCAGCCACTGGAAATTGAGGGGCTCTTTAGAGCTTCTGAAGTCACTCAGGGAAAAAATGATACTAAAAAGAAAAGTTACTATTTATTAGGAATTTACGACTTCTCCATTACTGTCCCAGGTGCTTTGAAATACTAATCACTTACTTATTAATCATTCTCTGTGTGCCCAATGGTTTACATGTATTATTTAACCACTAGCCCCTGTAACACAGATTGTTATTTCCGTGGGGGGCTTATACACCAACTCTCAGAAAGATAGAGAGGGCCTGGGCCATCAGGTGGCCTGGTGGTTAAGGCAGCTGGAATCCCACATGACTGACCATGGTTCGAGTCCTGGACCTGGCCACTTGCTTTCTCACTTTCCTTCTTTCTCTTTGTCTCTCTCTGGTCAAATTCAAAATAAAATAAAATAAATGAATAAAATTTAAAAAAAAAAAAAAAGAAAGAAAGAAAGGGGGGGCCTGCCTCAAGCCTGGTGGTAAGGGAGTCTGATCTCTCTCTCCCTCGCCCTCTCCCTCTCTCTCTGTCTCTGGCAAGTGCCTGTGCTCGCTGGCAAAATTTTTTTAAACGAAAGAGAAAAGATTAAAAAAAGAAGAGAGATGGAAGAGCAGGGGTGGAGAAAAGGGAAAAGGGACAGAAAAGTGGGGAAGGAGAAAAGGAAGCCCTGATTTGCGTGTTGGCCAATTTGTATAGTGTTGAAAGTGTTCATTCCCACTGGGCTGATTTCAGGTTACCAGTGGCCCCTGAATGTTTTTCAGTTGAGGGGCTATTGCTGGATCCATCTGTAGACTAGAGACTCAGGCGACGTCGCTTTCCCAGGACACACAGAGCTGAGAAAGTACCCAGGCGCGATCACAGCGACTGCTAGCCCCACCCCACAGGCAGTCCCCGGTGTCTGAGTACACCTCTGGACCTGAAAGAATCGGGGTGAGGAAAAACAGGAAAAGGTCAGAGGTGGGTTTTGCAGTGAAAGGAGCAAGAGCTCTGCCCTCCAACAGTCCTGGGTTCAAGTCCCGCCTTCCCTCGTTCTCTTACCAGCTACACGATCTTGAGCGGGTTTTTTACCTCTTCCAGCCTCAGTGCCCCCATCTGTCAAATAGGACTCACAATGGCACCCACTTCCAGGGCAGACGTGCCAGAAATGCCTTGTGTCAATCACTTGTTGAACAGCGGTGCTCAACACGGTGCTCCTGGCCTTGACAGAGTCCCCAGGGAGGGCCCTCCCTTTGTGAGATAGAATAACAGAAGGGGCCAGCTGTTGGTGTGAGTGAGAGATTAAGAAGAACCAAGTTCCAGTGCAATGAGCTGACTAGAAGGGCCGGGGCCAGGGGCCCCCTTGGAACTGACAGCAGCCTTAATCCTCTCTCCCCATTTTTGTTTTTCAGCTAGCGCCATCATAGGAATCATATTCATCAAAGAGAAATGGAAGCCTAAAGACTTTCTGAGTGAGTTCAGCAATTTGAGCGCTGTTATTAATGAATGTATTTATTAAGTTTGGGGTTTTGTCATAGGGTGCATGCACTTGGCCGAGAGAGACAAAGAAGGTGAGAAATTAGCCCCCGGGGGGTTGGCATGGAACAAGCCCTTCTCTATTCTCCTCTCAGGATTTTGGGCTTGTATCCACATGTACCTGGTGTCATTTTCCAGCTGCTGGGTCCAAGACTCAAACTGTGGTTTTGCTGTGTGGGAGTACAGCATCCTAACCACCACGACACCTGCCAGCCCCGTTTATAATTTTACACATGTGTTTTTTACTCATTATAAAAGTAACTCACCCCAACGTGGAGCTCTGCCTCCTACTCTGCTCCATGGTTCTACAGCCCACCTGGTCATGCCCCTGTGAGCTGCATTTGTAAACCTGGCAACACATGAAAATCCTCTATATGAGACTATTAAAAAATGGACTTTGGGACGAGCAGTTAGCGTAATGGCTATGTCACTGGACTCCCATGTAGCCGACCATGGTTCAAGTCCAGGACTTGGTGGCGTAAACTCATGCCAGGCGCGTGTGTGTGTGTGCCCAAGATCCCTAGAGGAGAATGGAGGAGAAGGGATTGCGGTGTGGCCATCCCCCTTGCAGGGTGATTTCTCGCTTTCTGTCTCTCTCTCTTTCTGGCGAGCGCACACGCCCTATAGCAAAAGCCTCTCAAAAAAAAAGAACTTTCATTCCATTCAGTCCACATTTATTGAGCACCTGTTACTGGGATTTTAGGAGGCCCAATAAAAGACACCCTAGTCCTTAAGTTTTAAAGCAGTGGGAGTCACACCCGAGTGATCAGAAGTCATGCTGTATTACTGACAAAGGGTAGATCTGAGTGTGTAGCACATGAGTGTGGTCAGGTGAGCTTGCTGACATCCTCCCCAGCACCCCCAGTGCCCGGCGAGACCTTGGGCGAGCCCGCCAAGGAAACAGCTGGGTTTACAGAGTACAGACTCCCACCTAGAGTTACGGCCTCATATAGTTTGAGGCAGAGAAGGAAGAAGAAAGAGCCAAGCTCCCATATTTCATGTTTTTTTCAGAAAAACAATGAGAAGTAGAGAGAGATAGATGGGGTGTGGGAGGGGACCCTCGACAGTGTGTACCACACCCCCTGTGCAGTCTCAGCCCTCCTGGGCCATGGGCATGTGTACGCACGCCCAGTGTGGACAGTGAGGTCTCGGAACATACACCCAGGGCCTTCCCATGTGGGTCCAGCAGTGTGACTGTGGCGCCACCTGCCACTCCCCGCACTTTGGGATAGATTGACTCACCCAGCTAAGTATGGATTGGTGGGGTAAAAGGCAGAAGTGTCCCCTGAGGGAGGCTCCTCCATGTGGAAGTGCAAGGCGTGGAGAATAAATGTTCTCTCTTTCGAAACTCCCGCCAAGCGCCGTGCTCTGCTGTAAGTGCTGGGCTGTTACAGTAGCCGTGGGCTGCTGTGCTCATGGAGAGGATGGCCTGCCGTGTGTCGGGGAGGCGCAGTAAGCAAGCGACTGAACAGATAACCTCAAGTCACAGTGCGGGCCTCGGGGAAAACAGCATCTTCCTGGTGGGGAGTGGGAGAGATGAGACACGCTTCCTTCACCCGTCGAGCGTCGGACTCCGAGGCGTTGGTTTTGAGTCCAGACCCAGGTAATACTGAGGTGACTGCCATGGCCAGGTCTTTGGGCAGGGTGTTCCACACAGGGAGCAACAGGTCCAAAGGCCCCGAGGCAGGAACAAGCTGGGCGTGCCCAGTGTCAGTGACACTCGTGTGGGGGACAGTGGTGAGCAGAGAGAGATCAGGGAGGCGTGGAGGACCAGGTGATGGAAGGCCTTGTGAGCCATGCTGAAGGGCTGGGTGACGTGATGGTGGGCACAGGCTCACTGTGCAGAGTCTGAGGTCTGGGTTAGGCCCTGGGCTCTGTGTTCTGTAAAGCCCTGTAGGGTGAAATCTATATTGATGTCCACAACTTGATTTGCAATGCACCACAAATTAAGATGGATTTATGACTAGGCTGAGGGGTGGGTAGGCATGCCATAAGGCAGGTCTAATAAAATGTCACTTAAGCTCCAGCGTGTGGAGCTACGGGTACCCACTATACAACTCTTCTGACTTTTCCATGTGCCTAAAAATTTTAAAAACAGAATCATGAGTATAGAGGATCATGGGTGTAGAGTAAGACTGAGGCAGAGCCAGGGAGCCAAAAAGGGAAAGAATCGTGCACTAACAAAGCAGCCGGGGGCTGTGGGGCTACTGCGTAGGACGCAGAGGATGCCGGGAGAGTGGCGAAGTTTAGACGGGTACACAGTCATCCTGATGGCAGGTGGGAGACCCTGGGCTGCTTCGGAGACCAGAATTATTATGGTTCGGACAGTGATTTGTCCACAGAGGTTCATGTTTTGGAATCTGGTCTTAGTGGGCAGTAATTGGACGTCCCCCAAGAGTTCATGTGCTGGGACTTGGTTGTGTTGTAAAAGTGTGAAGTAAATCTTAATTCCGTCATGGTGTCCCAGGGTGGGGCCTTTGGGTGTGATGAGATCATGGGGGGGGCATGATTGAGTCTGGTAGGTTAATCAGAGGGGAAGAGACCAGAGCAGGCAGAAACCTATGGCTAGCTGCTCTGCTCAAGGTCCTGCCCTCCACCATGTTGTAGCCTACCCGGACCTCAGACCTCCAGACAGTGACCTGAATGAACCTCTTCCTTTATAAATCACCTAGTCTGGAGCATTTCTGTCAGCAACGCAATAATGGAATACGATGAGTAGAGAGGTTCACTTCCCTTGTAGAGTACTCTGGGTAGTCCTGGTGTGAGAGTCCAGGCAGTGTCCTGTGTCAGTTGGAAAAAGGCAGGCCCTCTGGGCAGCTGTAGCTTTTTGAGCATAGGACTTGCTGACCAGGGCATGGTCTGGATTCTAACCCTCCTCACTCTTTTTTTCATTTTATTTATTTATTTATTTTGGAGAGGTTTTTGCTATAGGGCTCGTGTGCTTGCCAGAAAGACAAAGAAACAGAAAACGAGAAATCCCCCACCCCCGAGGGCAGGGGGGAGCGGGGATGGCCACACCACAATCCCTTCTCTTCCATTCTCCTCTCGGGATCTTGGGCGCACACACACCTGGCGTGCATTTTAAGCCACCAGGTCCGGGACTCAAATCGCACTTGACTACATGGTAGTTCAGCAACATAGCCATTATGCCAACTGCTGGTCCCTCTAACCCGCCTCACTCTTAAGCAGGGAGCCTTGTTCAGTGAGCAGCCTACACAGCTGTGCATGGTTGCCCTGATTAAAGTTCCATTAAATTTAGCAAATGTTCATTCAGTGCTAGATCCACCACAGGTGTGGAAATCTCTGCCTGAAGAAAATTTAACAGACTTACTCTGTTGAGTTTAACTGGATTATTCATTCACTGAACAATAACCAATTCCTGAATACCTTCTACATAGTATAAGGGCTGGAACTGAGGATAAACATATAAGACAATATGGTTAGTATTGTCTGGAGACATTGGGATAAAGTAGGTATAGTGAGTTCTATCACAGAAAAACCCAGAGGCTTGTGGTCATCATATGTAACTCCTTGCAGCTCGCCTGGGACCAGGCTAGTCCTCAAGAGGCTCTTAACTGACCCCCACAGGTTTCAACTGGAGTATGACAGGACCTCAGGGAAGAGGCAGGAGGCTTTTGGCATTCACCCAGGAGCACGCCTCCTGGATCACTAACTGGCTCTGACAAGTCTATGGAGTAGAATGTTGATAGTGTTTAGATCGTTCCCTTGGGAATAGGTTAAAGAGCCAATTGGGAAAGGATGAGGTCATTTTTTAAAGGTATGTCTTAGGCTCTGAAGGTTTCCTTTTGATGTTTTGTTTTACTTGGTTTGTAACTTGTCCATAAAGTGATTCTAGCTTTAAAATGTTCCCTATAAAATGAACTATTAAAACCACAATGCAATACCAGAATTGCTACAAAGGAGAAGGTACAGTGTGAGCATTGAGAAGAACGCAAGTAGATTTCTCACATTCTGCTGGTGGGAGTGTGGACTGGTACAGCCACTTCGGAAAATGATTGATAGTAACTTTCAGACCAAATGCTGTGACCCAGAAATTTTACTCCTAATTTTATACCCAACACAAATGCACACATGTGTATCCCAGATCACATGTTTGTAGTCACAGAGTTTTTGGTTTGTTTGTTTTTCAGATTTTTCCCATAGGTCACATGTACTTGCTAGAGAGAGTCAGTAAGAGGAGAAGTGAGAAATCACTCTCCAGGGCGGATGGCCACACCACAGTCCCTTCTCCTTGGTTCTGCTCCTGAGCTTTTGGACACACACACACACACAGTGTGAACTTTAAGCCTTCAAGTCCAGCACTCTAACTGCAGCTGGCCATGTGGGAGTCTAGCACCTTAATGACCATGCCACCTGCTGGTCCTCACAGGGTTTTTCTTTAATAACTCCAAGCCAGAGTCTCACTATCGACAGTTGAATGGATAAGCTGTGTTTATTCACGAATGGACAGCTGTACACAGTGAGAATGAATGAGCTGCTGCCACGCCCCCCTCATGCTACACTCAAACACAATGTTGAGTGAACACAGATGGCAGGAGAATGTACTGCTTGAATCCACTTATGTGCAGTATAAAACCAGGTAAAACTGTCAGTACTGTTTGTTGGCAGTCAAGGTGGTGTTACCCTGGAGGCAGGGGAAGGGAGCACAAGTGGGGTGTTTTGGGGTCCTACTAATGTTCACTTTCCTGGTCTGAGTGCTGGTTACTTGTGTGTGCTCACTTTGTTAGAATTCATTAAGGGCTTTTATGCATACATGCCATACCTAATTAAAGTTTTTAAACATTAAATGTTACTTTCAAAAAAATAAATAGCTTAGGCAAGCCCTGTAGTGTATTGGTTAAGGGAGCTGAATCACAATGGCTGACTGTGGTTCAAATCCCAGCCCTGGCAACTTGAAAACACACCAAGAATGTGTGCGTGTGTGCCCCAAATCCTGACTAGATGGAGAAACGAAGACAAAAGGATTGTGATGTGACAGCACCCCACTAAGAGATGTTTCTCTCTCTTTCTCTGGCAAGTATACATAACCTCGGGCAGTAAAAAAAAAAAAATGAATTAAGGAGGATATTTATTTTTTAAAGAAAAGAAGAGGTTGGGGCCAATGGGTGGCATGGTGGTTAAGGTGCTAGACACTCCCACATGGCTGACCACAGTTTGAGTCCTGGACCTGGTGACTTGCTTTCTCACTTTTCCTCCCTATCTCTTGTGTCTCTCTCTGGTCAAATTAAAATGAATGAATGGGGACCAGCAGTTAGCATAATGGCTATGTCGCTGGACTCCCATGTAGTCGACCACGGTTCGAGTCCCGGACCCGATGACTTAAAACTCACGCCGGGTGTGTGTGCATGCATGCCCAAGATCCCGAGAGGAGAATGGAGGAGAAGGGATTGCGGCGTGGCCATCCCCCTGGGGC